AGAGACAGACAGACAGACAGACAGACAGACAGACAGACAGACAGACAGACAGACAGACAGACAGACAGAGACAAAGACACAAAGAGGCCGCCTGAGACACCATCAACAAAAAATACAATGCGAGATGCACCAGGAAATCTCTGAATGTGGTGAGTTTACGTGGGTGTTTCAGTTCAGTTTTAGTAAGAAGTTTTACGGACCTTGCACCGCAAATAGATCATACCAGCTGGGGTCCCTTTCGATGAAAGGAATTTTAAAAAATCGAGTCATTGAGGAAACACTTAAAATAGTGCTCAGTATTGCGCGACAATGTGCGATAGTATTGAGCGAAAGTACGACTTGAAATAAACAAACCTGGCAGATTTTCTAAAATTACAGAGACAGAAGCGTCGGCCTGCAAAAGCGATCGGCGAAATAAAGGAATTTACTTTTATGCAGCAAAGCTGTCTCAAAAATGAAAAAACGAAGGGCGTCATGATCTGGAGAATATTTTAAAGAATCTTTTGGCGAAAACCGCATGTCGATCGATGCATCCACTAAAAAGCCTTTTGAATAGCACAATTCGGCCACCACAAATAGAAAATAGATAAGTGCCGGGGACCAGTGGTGGTACTAGAGAGTAACATACAAAGAAAAGAATGAGGAGAGATAAGGATAACAGATAGATCTAGTAGATAGGGGGGAAAAGGATCAAACCACAACCGAGCAAAACATTTCTTGGTACAACTTATCCTCAAATGTCTCTTCATCGGAAGAATAACTGTCACTCATACTTTGGACAGCAGTTTGTATCAATTTGTCTTAACTTAATCCTATTTTCCCACAACAGTTGAGGCTAGATTTTTTTTTAAATCTTCATAAATTTATGTAAAATGCTACAAATCTCCTTCACGCGGAAGATGGGATTGTTCACAGCCCTTTCCTCTTCTCACACACATTTTGCCTACGCATATATATGGCCAACGTCACAGCTCACCAATGACACTTGTTTGTTCCAAAACACGTTACAAGAAATTAATTTTATAGCGAACACATTTTTTGCACTAAAGGTTGTCAAAACATGCGTTCAATAAGCATGATGTCCCGATTAGAAAACGATGACGGACTTCCTTTTAAAAGGGATATTGCTCGCGCTGTAAACTTTTTATAATCTGAAGAAACCATCGACTGGAATCTTTTATTAGTATTTGTTGAGGAATTTTCTAGAATACAGTGTACAGGTGTATGAAAAACATATTCATCTGTTAAGACAAATTGATATAGTCATTGCGCAAAAGTTGGAGAATTTACGTTCAATAATTAAGGAGATATTTGACAATAAGTTGCGCCACGAATCGTTGAACCTCACTATAGTTAGTTAGTTAGTTAGTTAGTTAGTTAGTTAGTTAGTTAGTTAGTTAGTTAGTTAGTTAGTTAGTTAGTTAGCTAGTTTGTTTGTTAGTGCATCGTTTTGTTAGTATGTTAGTGTGTTAGTTTATTTGTATGAGTCAAGGGAAGCACATCGATACAATACGGGTCATTTCGTCTTTGGCGGAAAAGTAAGACGGACAGACAGACGACAGAGGGACAGCACAGGGAGGCATGCTAGTTTGTCACAGGCCCAGTTAGCCACAGGCCTTAAAATCCCTCTAAAATGTCAGCTCAGGTTGTGTTGTTCAATATTTCTTGCTTTTTTGTATGCAAATCAAAGCAAATTTAAATTAGATCTACCCTGTAAAATTTCAACAATGAATGTTCTTTCGTTAAAAACAATTGGAAAATAAAATTAATTCAATTCATAGTGGGCCTGTGGGCAGTCCCCCAGCACAGAATCAGGAACTATAATAAATCGTTCACTTTCGTCGGACCGCAGTTATAACGAGATAAAAAAACAACAAATCGCTCCTTTTATTCTTTCTGTGCCTTTGCAGCGGGTCTAAAAGTTAAGCGACCACAGAATCTAAAAGCCCATTTATACAAGTCACTGCAAACTTAAGATCCCATACATTTTCTGTGATGTAGGCCAAAAGCGGGTCAAAAGAATAATAGGAAATTTACAACATACACCTAAAAATGGTAAAAGTTGACATAATATTTTCCTCAACACCACTCTTCAACTTTCGTCTGAGAAACATGGATCAAGAGACAGAGTGGGTATTTTTACGAGACTCACGTCGAGACGTCTTGACAGCGGGGGATGAAATCTACAGTACAAGCTTACACTGAAATGTGGGGGGAGGGCGGTGTAGCTGTCTCAAAATGAGCAATCTGAAGGCAAGGCTACTGTAAGTCATTTATTTTACTGATTATGTGTATGCATCCAAAGAGCGGTAGGAAGATATA